TGATTCTTTCCCACCTTTTATGGGGCCTGGGTTCAAAATCAGGCTCCGTCCACATGTGGATTGGGTTTTCAGTTCTTACTTGAGTCCGTGGGTTTTCCCTGAAACATTTATTCGGGGTTTTCCTCCCACCTCTAAAACTGAACATTTCTTCATCGTCTTCACTCATTATTATGTTGTAATTTGCGTTCAATGCACTGTTGGATGAGCAGATACCCTTGGATTCACTTCAGCTGTGTTTTGCACCTCTGATGTGCACAAAGAACAGTGAACTGTCACAGCGGACATCAGTTATACCACAAGGTTATACAAGGTACATAAATGCAAAAAATAATTTATACTATGCACACTTAGTTTGATCTTGACAGTGCCTCAAACTACCCTGTGTATAAATAGTTCAGCTTTTTAATCATCTGTAACTATAGCAATCCATTGTCTGTATCTATAGCAACCAAAAATGTTGAATCAGTTCAGTGGGGTAACTAGGATTTGTGGAGGGAGTACTTAATGAGTAATGGTCATATTTGCAGAGTTATTTTTTTGTTTTCTCAGAATTCGGGGGGGGGGGGGTGTGGCAGGGGGCCTGGAGAGGGTTTCCTGTGCATAACCTTAGTTACTCCACTGCGTGAAATGCATGTTAATAATTGCCAGTCACAAAAGTGATGTACATTTACATACTTGGCTTTAACTTGTATTGAACTCTGTCATTCCACATTTTTCTTTTGGGTTTGTGAGGATTTTGGTTTGTTTTGATGTTGTGATTAAGTGTTCGGAATGGAGAAGTGTTTTTTTCTGCACTTGGTGAAAAATACCTCACTGTTACTAACAGTAATGGATTTATGTTGACAGAAGGTTAGTAACTGATGTCAGTTCAATTTTAAACATTGTTTTACTATGGAAAGCATGTAATTTATAATATATGTACTGTGAAAACTTTAAGACAGAGCTTTTTGCTGGGTGACCGTCACCTCCAAACTAAGATTTGAAATGGACTTTTCGCCCCATCTTCAAAAGGAAGGTTGACACAGCAAACCTTTCCTACATTTAGTTGGATGAGTTCACAACATGAGTTCCTAAGTTCTTGGTGTTCATTTTGTTGCATCATAATGTATATTTATGATTGTTTTGTCTGCAGTGTCATTTCGATTTAAGTACTTGAACTTTGCTCACAGTGTTCAATGGCTCACATCCTATATTTGAAACCTAAAGCTTGCTGTCCTTTGTCCCTATACGTCTTATTCACTTACAATATTCAGTTCAGCACTTTAAGTAGTTCGGTTATTGAATTAAGTATGCGTTGTAGAATTTCTGTTTTGCCAAGATCGCATCCATGTATATTTGCTTCAAAGGAGGACCTCTTCTTGATGAATGTACAGTGGGTGTATTTTTCTCGTGTTGTACTTACAAGAACAATATATTTTGTATAAACCAAAATTATAACAAAACCACTCAAACTAATTTTTTCCCATATGAAATCAGTATGGTGTAAAATGGAATGATGTTGTGTAGGCCTAATTCAGTGAATAATAAATAATTCGGGTGTCTGTGTCATTTTTACATGGTATTTGCACAGAGTAAGTTCGGAAAGGCTAACATTATATTTTAATCAGATTACTATTTTTTTGGCTGTTGTTTCCTTGTTGTAATTTCAGTTTATATTCAGTTACTAAAGTTTAATACTCTTTTCTTTCATTGTGGAAGGCTATCAACTCACCCATAGTCATTTATTAAGGCTTCTTAAACATCGTTTTAAGACGAAAGCCAAAGGTCAAAAATTGCATCAAAATGCTTTCTGTCTTGATGTTTGATGTGTCTAATAGACTGGAAACTTAATGCCGTCTTGCTTTCCTGTGGCAGTGAGTTCGGACGCGATCCATTAAGTCCCTATTCTTGCAGTCCGCATGACGTCACTACGAATATTTAACACGCGGCAAAGGGGGTAAATTTACCCTTAGGCCTTCGTGCTATTTGATAATGTTCAGAAGTTCCCGGATGTCCGACCGCAAGAATAGGAAAGCACACATGTAAACAAAGCGTAGCGTCATGGCTTTGGGTCTATGTGACTGTTTCTTTTTAAATTTGGTTGTTTTGCCTTTTAGATTTTGCTGGGTTTTGTTCATCAGCAATGTTAATTGGTTTTGGCTGTGTAACCATTGAGGTTGTTTTGTAGTGGGACTGTTCAGCAGGCCTGAACGGTCAGTTAACCAGCTTGTTTCACGACGGCAGTTTTCCGGTTTTTTTTTCATTTCATGGTTCTAGTAACAAAAGTATTCCATGCCTTCGAGGCGCTTGTTTCTGTGGGGTGTAAGTTCGTGTTAACGTAGTTGTGGGTGTAGTATGCTCATGGGCGTCGCCAAGTTTTTTTCCGGGGGTGGGATGGAAGGGGGGGGAGCACTCAGCATTAGCTCGCTGCTAAACTGTTAACGGTGGAAGGGGGTCAGTTCTGAGGTATTGCCAGGGACATTTGTGATTTTCATCCCCTGTGATGGCTCCGAATATGCCAGAAATTCATGACATGTCGACCGTAAAACGAATTCAGCTTAGGCCGTCTGTATGTTCTATGGCTTGCATTTCAACGGACCCTTATTTTGGTTCCGACCGAGGAGAAATATTTTTTTCATGCTGGTGACTCTGTCTGGAGTGTCCTACCAAGAAAAAGAAAGAAAGAAAGAAAGCAAATAATAAGAATTTCTGGGATAAAAGAAATTTTTGTTTACCGCTATTTTTCCCAATCGACCGACCCCCCCGTCAAGGTAAATTTACCATAAACATAAGTTCGGACACTTTTCCTAACCCGAGACATCGTTCCTTGTATTTTTGCGTACAAAACTGTTGACTCGTTTTGATTTGTAATTTTGTTTGTAAACTGACGATATGAAAATGTCCACATAGAGTGATGAAGTTAGGAATGCATTAATCTGAGAATCTGTGAACATGAGTATGATTGCGAACACGGCGTATTTTAACAAATTGTAACAGTTTCTTCAATAATGGAGCAGTGACCAATTGCATTACATGAAGTTAAGGAAGCAAGTGGAGTCGTGTACAGTAGTATGCATCGGCATTGGCAAGTCATTCCAAAAAGTGACCTGTCGTTAAGTCTTTGAATTATTTTAATATATCAGTTTGTGGAATTTTCTCTTGTTTCTGTAATTATTGGATGCTACATTTCTTTCGTTGGGTTTCATTTTACTGTTGCCCGTTCTCCAGTTAGTTATTTCGGTGGAAATGTAGGCTATGCGAGTAAGGTGGCGGGAAAAGAGATTTGTCAGGATTTTCAGGATTTTTTCCATCAGGAGTTTCCTGATTTCAGGATTTTTAAAACAATCTCTTTTAAAAGATGTTTCTACGGAAGTTGATGTGGAACACAAGTAGGCAAACACAAATGCATACCAGAGACCCTACGCTGCTGTGGGGCCCTCAAAACCTCTACTGATTATTTTGTGAATATTTTAGTTTCCACCAATCTCTCTCCCCGATCGGAAAAATGGAGTGATGGAAAAACTTCACATGTGAAAATTATATTGACCCTGTTATCCGCATGTCCGTGTGCTTTTGATGGTTTCAATGTTGGAAAGGCAAATTAAAGTAAGAGAAAAAGTTAAAATTTGACTGAATCTTGCGAGTGCCAAGGTGTGTATATTTATGGGGGAAAAAGAAAAAAACTATGTTATTTCTTACATCTGTGTGGTATTATGAATGGATTCCATCTTGTGCCTTGTATTTGCTTTTGCAATGACACAAATTGTATGCATCTATCATAATGTAACATTCCCTCAGTTTTCCGTTATACGTATGGTTGTGTTTTCCTGTTAACTTTTGTATTTGCCCCATCTTGCTTATACTTCCCTTTTACTTGGAAAAGTTAGGGAAAGTCTGGAATCCTGATGACGAATCATAGTTTACTCTTCCCCTCATCCAGATTTCTGACGATTTTTACTCAAACTCATCTTAGTTATCATTCAATGTACCTAACTTATCAATTCGTGAAACGTTGGTGTGTTCTCGCATTTTAAACCAAAAATTTTCCAAAAGAATTGGTTAATGATTTCTTCAATGTCGTAATTACCCAGCCATGGTCTCCGTCTTCATTTCAATTGCCGTCTGTTTTATAAAATGCATTTAACGGATATATAAACGGACGCTTGGGGCATGAACGTTGGAAAAGTTTCCTTTCATGTTGGTGAGGATAGGATTCTTATTTTTAGCATTTTTTCCACTTGTGGAATTCTTTTGGGCATGATTTTGCGAATGAGTTAAATGTAGATTGTTGGTGTAGAATCAATCCTCGAGTAATTACCTTAAAAGTGAACAGACTTCTATTGCCAGCCACGTCTGTACGCAAAATTTGAGTGCTGCTTGAAGTAATCTGGTGACAGAATAAGAATAAAAAATAATGTATAGCTAGTGCAAAATGAAAAATGAATAAGAACTCAGAATTGGAATTCATGCAACCTTGCCCATGTTTATTTCGCTTGGAGAAGAATTTGTTACGCAACAACTGTGGTGAAAACAGTGTGAAAACGGAAGGGACCTTGAATTGTCATAAACGTACAAGTACAAAGGTTGTTACAACCTGCTTTTGCAGTAAATCATCCAAAAATGCTACATATTTTAATGCCACATTGCAGTTTTTTTGTAGATAATTAGTTTGGAATAAAAGTAATAATTTTCATAACAATGGAAATCGAGCTGCGATTGGTGATGAATAATTTTGTCAGTTGTGATGGCTGTGTTAAATAAAATGAATATCATTTTAACTTCAGGTTGTGGAGGCTTGTACTTGCATGCGACAGCTTTATTGATTGATACCTACGTGAAAACTTCTAAAAGAATAAGACCGAGAGAATCCGATAAATTGATCATAATTACGAAAACTTTGAGCATGGGCAGTTTCGTACGTACAGATGTCACTCTAAGGGTCAGATTCTGCTCTTCAAAAGAAATCTCCTTTTGTCACCGTTCTGAAGGCAAACAACCAAAATTATCAGATACTTATGCCCAACTTTATTTCACGTATAACTTATGATTTCATTTGTCAATTTTAGCGAGTGTTTATTGCATATCGTACCCTAAAAAAGGGGATTGCAAAGGTGTCAGTCTGTTACCATGGCAACATATAGTTATGGTTTTACCCGATGCTTGCCAAGTCCAGATTAAAAAACGTTTGTATGATAAAGGGACGACTAAATACATTCATTGATCCCTTCCACGCAGTTACTCACGCGCGTCCCATGTGGTTCTCTGTGGCGTTACTTGTTTTTTGGTCACACTTAGCATAAAGTTCTTGAGGTCTCGGTTTTTGAACTTGGATGATTGTCAATAATGACTTATAAACATATATAATCCTAGTGACAATGATAAAAGAAATTCCAGTGGGAAGAAAAATATTTAGCAGAGCGAGGTTTCGATCCTCGGACCTCTGGGTTATGGGCCCAGCACGCTTCCACTGCGCCACTCTGCTTCCTGCTTAATACAGTGCGTTATACAGTATATATAGATAATTTTAAGAATAGTCCCTGGTAACCGCAATCGTTATCTTGGCATATATGCGAACGTACCAGTCAACTGTATCCGCAAAGGCCGTTTTGTTCATGTATGGCTAAGGAGCTGTATGTATTTGTACGCGTTGAAAGCCTGAACGGAGCCGTTGTCACTTCAAATGGACGGTTGAAACCTGGACGGAAGATAGATGAGGGCGGGCTGCATATATGCATGTTCGATCATGGAGGTAGAATTCGATCATGCTTTGTCGGTGCCGCAAGACGAACATCATGATGTAGGCTTAGTTGGTAAGAATCTGTCCGTTTTTCACGGTATTAATCGTCAGAAAAAATGCAAGGTGCCAGAGAGTTGTTGCAGCAGAGGATTGCGAATAAAAACTCGTTCCTACATGAACCATGTATTTCCTTTCATACTGTATGTTACGATTTGCCGGCATGACCGGCCGGTTGGCGGACTGTCTGAGACTGCCATGACTGGCACGCACGGCATATGGACGTAGGCTTGTATAAAAAACCTGAACTTGCAAGGCCTTTGTATGAAAAAGAAGCCAACCAACGGCCATTTTACCGAGCCGAATACAAATGCGTGGGTTGGCTCCCTTCTATTGACGTCAGGAAGAACAAAAGCGGGCATTGCCAGGAAAGCTTTGCATTCGGCTCGGTAAAATGGCCGCGAGTGGATTCAGTGATCTCTAGTATGAGCTGATTAAGGGCATTGCAAGTCCAGATTTTATTATACACGTCCGTAAGGCTATCCCCACACGTAGGGCTGTAGTGGTTCTCTTTTACAATCTGTCTCTTATTTGTCGCCACCACAGCCCTACTTCAAGGCATGTCTTAAATGCCTGAAATCCAAACTGCAGGATTGTCACAAACTTTGAATCCTAATAACTTCTGAAATGAGAATGAGAGCGAGTCCGTGAAAGTGAATGGGTGACAGCAAAAAGACTGGAAAATACCAGAAGAACTTGAGTGAAATCATTCAATAAATGGTGCTAAGGCAGCGGAGAGGCTAAGGGTAATCTCTGTGTGCAAAAGAAATTGCGCCCATGATGATAAGTGGGTGCGCCGAAAATTTCAGCACGCCGACACGAAATTGCGCATACGGATGTGTGGCTAAGGATGGATCGGGAGTGAGAGTCTGTGCCACACTGGTGGGGCTAAGGCCTATGCAGCCTACCGCGACCGGCCACAGTGATTAGTGAGCACGACTGTCCAATCCTATCCTGCCAGCCTTGCACTTTGCAGCCTGCAGTGCAGGTGATTTATAAGTCGCGCCCAGCAAGTCTTACAATGATCTGGTTCTAACAGTGTAGGACACCAGATAGAGAGAGGACTAGGGAAATTTTTGAAAAGTAGGGCCTATCTATGCATTAAGCCTAGGCCCTAGTAATAGTACTAACAGTTATAACTTACCTGTATGAGGGAGGCTTAATAATTTTTGAACTATTTTTTCTGTTTTCTTTTTGAAGTGGTCTTGGAGAGGATGTCATAAGTTAACATGCTAAAGAAACTTTTTGATATAAATTTGGATTCCATTTGGACTCTGCAAAGCAAAGAAAAACTGATTTGAAACAGGGATATTGCAAGAGATGTTTTGAGATTTTTTTTTGTACGTGTGTACAATGTAATGCAGGGCAAACTGAGATTTTTCTGTACACAAAACGAGTGTGGATTTTGACTGAGAAGCTTAAAATTCACATTTCTGTAAAATGTTTGTTCGTATTTGTGCCTTATTTCGCTTGAAATTTTAAAAAAGTTTGAGATAGGAAATTAAGTAGATGAGATAGAGCCTGCGGAAAATCAGTTTCCTATTTAAGAAAATGAATTCCCATATAAACAGCACCCTCGCACATATTTATGCATGTCCCTACCCTAGGTGTATCTCTTGTTTCTCAGTGGCTCTTTTTACGGTAACCGTAATGCGACTGAAATTCTGTAGTCGGGTCATTCCATGAGGTTGGGGCACAATTTGTGACGGTGTCAGTTGTTACATGGGTTCTGTAAAAATGAACAGCTATTTCCCTGCAGGTGGATTCCAAATTGACGTTGTTATACATCTTGCAAGGCTGAATACAAAGGTGTGTGTTGTTTTTACAGAGTATGTATTAACACTGGGAAGTTTTATTTCCTTATTTTTCAGGTTATTTCTTGGCTTCATTCCAGTACTTCGTGCGTTTGCAGAATCAGCATACCCAATTCTGAAGTTTTCAGTTTGCAACCGACAACAATTAAAATCCTCTAGACACCTTTAGAATCCCAGAAGAGTCAATATCAATGTGAAGATACCAACCTGAGCTTCTGGAAGGAGAAGATCAGAAGAACAACTGACTCCCCCCCCAAATCCAGGATGGGAAAGGTCCACCTGATGTCAGCATGATACATGTAACACCCCAACATGTCAGTTCACACAGCTTAAGCATTGCCCAAGCGGACAGTAAAGTAACACTGAGACAAACCACAGAGGCTGCAGATGAAAATCTGAACCACCTTTTGGAATCTACTTCTAAACCAGGGGACATCCCTTCAGTGCAAGATGATCATCTCGAACAAGTTCCTGTCTGTGACAAGTGTCACCAAGAAGAATCAAAGGGTGCTGTTGGCTCACCTGAAAGACAGGAGGACAACCTCAGGACTTTCCAAGATGCTTCTGAAAGAATTGAAGTGGCATCAGGCAATTCTCTTTCCAAAGACGAAGAGAGTTTTAGTTCCAAGGAGACCAAGGTAGCATGGGAAATCTTTGGGGACCAAAGCAGTGAAGGAAACACGCCTTCCCGCAAAGCCGACAATTGTGTGAACTCCAGTCCTGCACAAGGTACTGATAGTTTCGGTGCAAGTGATATAGAAGTAGTAAATGGTGAAAAATGTCTGACAACTCAAGCCACAGATTTAGATTCAGATGTTCAAAGTTCTGCTGTCAGCTGCCAAGAATTCTTGGACCATTCAGAGATATCCCTACCAATCCCAGATCCCAGTCCCAATGGGAACAACGATCAAACGTGTGCCACCCAGGAGCCTTTCGCATTCTTTGACGAACTGCCCCGTGAGCTGTTCTTCAAGATCCTCAGTTACTTCACCGCCGGAGAGCTTTGCCTGACCGTGGCTCCGGTTTGCAGGGACTGGTATGATTGCTCCAGGAGCCCTGTGCTGTGGACATGCCTGGATCTGTCGGACCACCGGGACGTCAGCCACAAGCAGCTGTGCGCCGTGCTGGGGAGGGCTTCGCTCCTGAAGTCACTCAGCCTGCGGGGGAGGGAGGAGCTGTCCCTCGGGGAGATGCAGGCCCTGGCCAGTTGCCCCCTCCTGACCGATCTCAACCTGGGCTTCTGTGACAACGTCAACGGGAGGGTCCTGGATGAGATCATCAGATGCTGTCTGCACCTCGAGGTGAGATGGAATCAAGACTTGCTTATGCATGTACAGTACATGAACTTCATGTGGAACCGTGTGGCCCAGGGGTTAGGATTTGTAACTTCCAAATGGAGGGTCGGGGGTCCAAATCCTGCATCTGGTTACATTTTGCGATCTTAAGCACGTCAGTTTACATCACTCCCACTCTGCTCTCTCCAACCCCAGGAAATAAAATTCTACCTCTAAGGGCAGAGATAAATGTTTTGTTTGATTGCTGCTTGCTTCTGAAATGGCAGGATGAGGCTGTATGGAATATTACCGAAGACACACACACAGTCAGACAGTTATGTGTGTAGGAGGCATTAGCAAGCGAACCAGCATTTGAATCTACATATGCGCACATTCCATTCGTTTGCACTATACTTCCTGGTTCAAATGACATCACGCTTCAGTATTCTGTACTCTCCAGGGAGCTGCAGTAGTTTCTAGGAATGTCTATGGGCACGATGAGCAGGGACAGTATTGGTGTTGCACCTTGAGGACCAGTAGCATACACGTATATGTGCACCTCTTCAATACCCATCATTGTTTTTATTATTCACGCAAACAAATATGATGCAAAGGCGACCTCACGAGGCATTTTGGACCAGATGTGCTAGAATTTTAAATGCACATTCGAAAACTTGAAACCGTAGGACTCCATATAGGCAGTCATATTCATGTTTGCTGAGTATGTACCAACCTTGGTACAGCTGTGTACTCCCCAAGGAGGAGAGATGGTTTGAGGAATGTTTCTAGGGCCCGTTCGGAGAGTTATGTGTAGATACCATATCTGCAAGCACTATTGGTACGTACATGTACGTGCCCACTTCTTACCCTTTGTTATCGTCTTTGGATTTTCATAAACAGGTTATTAACATGGAAGGCTGTGAGCGGATTGACGATGACGTAGCGAGCCAGTTTCCCTCGCTGCCTCACCTAAAGGCCCTCAACCTGTCTCACTGCACAAAGATGACAGATGATGGTGTGATGGCAATCAGCAAGGGCTGTCGGCTGTTAGAGGAACTGAACGTCGATGGCATACCGTGGATTACCGACAGGTGACTAGGGGATTAATCCTCTGGTATATAAGGTCTTAAAACTTCAAATGTTCCCGTGTTGTACATCAGTACATGTACTTCATTATTACTTCACTAGTATTCACAGGTTTTTACATGTATGTGAGAATTTTAGGTACTCCAGCGTTTAAGAAACTAGCTAATTTATAATGAACTGTATCAAAGAAATTCCTTAGTTCAACCACTGTTAAGTAGTGACAGTTCTTCTGAAAGAACTTGTGATAAATAGTGAATAGTACCTGGGATGTACCCGCGAGGTACTGGACTACACGACTACAAGTCAACCTGCAAGCCTGGTCATAAGTAACAGGACATGAGTAGTGACCAAGGTATCCTCGTCACGTTTCAGTTGAGTAACTTGAAACTGAATGATGTGCGACGAACTTGTGAAGAATTCCAGTTCAACACTGGCCCATTCTCTTAGCAGTTTGGAACTTCAAAACGTCAAGGTCATTTGAGAATAGAGCATCTGATGTCACACCATCGCACTCGTTTGAGCATGCTCAGTGCGTGGGAATTGGCTTGCTTGCATATTGACAATTTTGAAAGATCTTCAATCACTTCATTTTGAACATGCGCTGTGAGAATACCAACTTGAGCATGGGGGAAAAGGTGTTATCCTAACAGCCTGACAGTACAAGGGATGGGGTGCGTCCTTGTTGGGGGAGAAGGTGGTGTTTGAAGTTGCCTCCACTATGTTTGTTGAGTATTGCACTTCTTTTTGTATAACATCACAAGTACCTGGACTTCAATCTCATCGCTCTCCTAATTTATTGAAGTTTGAGTCTGTATGGACCAGTGTTACATGTACGTCCTTGCTGAACTAGTTCAGAAATTTTGTTCAGGATTTTTGTTCAGCAAGTTTGTTCAGGATCTTATCTTGGTGTGAACACGTACACAACCCCAAATTTCTTGCTAGCCCATGGAATGTGCCAACTATTTGTGCAGAATTTTCTGCTGTTTTTGTGCTGGGTTCCAACAGTCATAGGAAATAGGGCACTGGTCTATCATGCAAGATTTTTTTATCGGACAAAGTTTCACCTGAAAGTTAATTGTGCTTCAGTTTGATGTGCAGTCTGTCTTCTTCAACCGTAGAGCTGTTGATGTTTTGGCCTCACAGCGTGCTCAGACCCTGAGGGCGATATACCTGGATGGAGCTGAGCTGACTGATGTGTCCATCAGATCTCTGATGGGCTGCCCGCTCCTGCACACGCTCAGTCTATCCTTCTGTGAGCAGTTGACAGACAAGGCTCTGAGTATGTTAGAGGTTTGTATTCATTTAGTCAGGTGCAACATCATAATAACAATGGGCAGTCCAAACGTCACATAAAGTCTCAATGCTGTGACATCACTATCACCCCGGCTTATCAAACCTGTAATCATTCCTGAATCCAACTCTGGGGGGGGGGAGTGCACGGTCATTTTAGGTGCCACCTTGTTAATCAGCCATGATATTACCATCTCTGCCCCCACAGGTAACGTTTATCCTGGGTGGGGAGATGCAACTAGGTGCAAAGTGAATCTCCCATTGTCACAGCGTGTAACCATGGAGCTATTATACTAAACAATTAAGCACATACAGAGATCAAAAGGGTCAATGATGGCTACCGCCAGCACTGCCCTTGCTGCAAAGACAAAACAAATTACGCGCCGCTTGTGGGCTACAAGGAATGCTTGGAGTTGCATTTGCAAAGGGTTGTGGGTACCGCGCATGCGTGTCCGTAAACTTCCGCGCATTTAACATGGCCCGCCATTGAGATGGAAACCACTGTCATCTGAGACTTACATTCCGACAATTTTAGTGATTGTTCTGATATTCCAATGACAATGAAAGTCTGGTTACGTCTTTACACCCCCCATAACATCCTCTTAACAGTAAACAGAATTACTGACAAACACAATTTCTCCAAAAATACGCGACAAGAAAACTGAAAGTAGCTGGTCAAGAGGAAATAGAAAGCACACAAAGCCATGGGAAGATTTGTTATCCTTTGTGTCATTGACCACAGCTGGCTTGGCATGAAACCGCGTCACATTGTCAAACGCTTTCCTTTTAAACGTAGGAACCACTAGGATTACGACTTATGATAGACATATTCTAATTCATATTTTGGGTATTTGTTCTCTTCTGCCAGAACCGCAAAAGTCATAACTGACTAAAACGTCCAATTTCTGTGAAATAACCACCGCTGATTCAAAATTTTCGAGCGCATCTGCAGGGATCTTTCACTGACTCCTGAGGACTACTGTAGAGAACTGCACATCTTCTTTGTTTATCTTTTCCACCATATATTTACTCCAGTTTGCTGTAGCAAAGCATGGCGAGTCTGTTGGTTACCAGCTACCCGGCGGTGGCAATCACTGTGTACAAACAATGTCTAGGGTCGTCAACAGTGGGGCCGGAAACTCTGCATTGTTTATGGAGCTGGCCAGAGCGGTTAATCGGATTCCAGTCTGTGGGGACTTCGTTCTAACTCCTTGTGTTTAATAGCTCCATGATGTAACCACCTGCTGGGTTTCAACCTCTCACTGTATGATCGGGAGTTACAAACCCCAATCTCAAGGCTGCACGCCCCCTTTTTGTCCCCCCCCAATATTTTATCAATACTTGGTAAACGCACGTCTCGACCACATCTTCCTAACTCATTCTTTCTTTCAATTTTTTGTAAGATGCTGGACCATCTTAGCCACCTGAGGCTAAAGCGTGGAGTGGAGTTTAGCGAGGAAGCCTTGCACCGTTTCTTTGAATGTGGCAGAGTGGACCAGCTGACCATCCTAGATCTATCTGAATGTTCAGAGTTGATGGACAAGGGAGTCACCAGCATTGCTCGCCGGTGGGTCACCAATTTTTTCTGGGTCAGCCTGAATCATTTATAGCAGAGTCTCAAAATATAGAGAACTCTGACTGGAAAATCCTGGAACGGAGCACACATCCTGAAATCTCAAATCTCCTGAATTAGTTTGTTTTTCATTATTTTTTCCAGCCGTTTTTGAACAAGAATCTTAATATAGCAAGATGATGTGGCTGGCACCCAAAGCCTTGTCCTAGTGAGTGTTGACCGTAATACAGAATCCCACTCCCAATCATAAATAACCATGACTCTGTCAATTTTGTTAACTTCACTTAACTAAAACTACAGAATTGCATGTGCATGTACGAAGCGCCGTGTTGTGTTGAAGAATTGTTTAGCGTAGACTTGTCCGAGGATATACCATAACTGCAGTACCATTACACCCAAGTGTGTGCTGCTAAACTTCGGGTGCACATTTTTTGAAGTGAATCACAACCTGTAAATGGACGAAGAGGCATGTGTGCAAGAAAATAACGCCACATTACGGCTTCTACTTCTGGTTGCTGGTTTAGTTTATGTGGGAGCAGGTTCAACATTGGGAAACAGAAATTGCCAGGGTTCCCATGTTCAGGGAAAATCCTGGAAAAAAGGTTGTCCGAGAGAGTCCATGTGAGATTGGGAGAGAGTAAGTTGTGCTAGAATAATGTTGTCAAAGGGAAAAAAATCCTGGAAATCAAAGTCATGCAAGGGTTATTTTTGATGGGCAGCTTTGGATGTGATGACGGAATAATGATGACTTTACAGCCAGTCCTTGTCAGTCTATAGAAGTGGCTACGGCAGTCTTCCAGCTTATAGTACTGAAAAACTCTGCAAAATGGCATTAAATGTCATGGAAAATTCTCACTTTTTAGGCCTGGAATTTAGTTTTCAGATTTCTGTGGGAACCTTGTTTTGAACATCAGCTCATTGATGGTAAATCCGAGTCCTAAGACTAAATCATCCAATTTCTTCACAATTTTTGTCCCACCTTTGAAGGAAAAGGTAAGAATATGTTCCTTTTTTGGGTTGTCGGCAGGTGTCGTCAATTGAGGAGGCTGGCCCTGTGTTGGTGTTGGAATATCTCAGATGCCGGCATTAAAGAAATCGTTGACAACTGTAGGTAAGTTCATCCATAAAATTTATGGAGGCAGTCTCTCACACTTTGAAATTACAGTTGGACATTGGCCATATTCCGATCACTTAGGGTGTTTAAAGTGTAGATGCAATGGATCTTTCTTGGACACAATTTTCTTCAAGTTTATACTCTTCATTTGTGTGCAGAAACTCTGATATCCTATTAGGCTATATGCTTTGAAAAACAAGCTTTTTTAAACATTTGGAATTACCCATGCTTTCCTGAAAACTGAGGGCACTGTTGCTGTGATGTCATCTAGGGAAAACAAGCTTTGGGACATGTTTTTTGTCTGTCCAAATTGAGAGCCTCAGAATTTACTCACTGGAAACATTTCTGAGAAAAGGTTGCTGCTTGTCTGTTGGTGTGTATTTACTCAACAGTTCATCCCCCCCCCAAAAAGAGAAAAATTAGGCAAGCAAAATTGAAAATCGCAGTTTTTTTGTGCACTAATCATTGTAACATTAAGGTTTTCCTTTAGGGATTACTTTACAATTTTGCTCATGAATATGAAAATCTCATTTTGCGTAAAGGAAGAAAAGGCAACAAGAAACCCTTTGAAATAGTAACAGAAAAATTGAAAATGAGGTTAACTGAGAAACAAAGGTACAATTTGGAGGTTTGCTTCATTGAGCCACAATGAGGAAAAACAGATGTAGTAGGACAGAATGCCCCAAGGAAATGTAGAAATACATGCGGAATTCCTGAAGGCAAAATCCTTTTGGTGTTTGACGCGTTTTGTGCCGATTGTCAGTGTGTGTTCTTGTGTGGCATTTGGCAAATGTCTGGTCGACAGCTGATAATGGCAGAACAAAATTGATCATGCTGTTAAGTTTATTTGGCGCTTTTGGGCCTAATTTTGAGTGCTGGTCACCTCTCCGTTTAGAAGATTTGACCTTTTATCAATTTCCTAATGACATCATACACCCCTTCTCAGAAATATCAATTTCCTTGCTTTGTTGCAATTCAGAGGTGAAAGAGTTCCAAGGCCGGATTTGTTTCAGTTGAAAAACTGTTCTCTCTGTTCAATTAATAAATTCAAGTTAGACCGAAACCATAATTGCTTGCATTCTGGACTCTGCACATAAGCACACCTTTAGAAACTGGTTGGACAGCTGAATACAGTTGTACATGTACCATTGCTTTGGGCGTCATTGCGTGTGTACTGGTTTTGTGCAGATTCATATGAAAGTTGGCCATGCATGTTCTGGAAAGCAGTGTAAGCATATGGTGTGCCTGCCACCCTCAAACACTCATGAATATTCATGATGGATGAAGGCAAAGTGGTACGTTCCTTGCCTTCCTATGTTTCAACCTCAGTGGCTGAGGTTCGAGTCCTCCCCCCCTCCGGCTGGTGTGTGGACTGGGTTCTCAGTGTCGATCCAATTCCATGGATTTTCTCTGGATTTTCCTCCCACCTTCAAGACTGCACCCTTTCCTTGTCTTCATTACTGTTGTAATTTGAAAAATTCTCCAAGAGGTGACATGGCTACCATCAATAAATGCATTTATTATAAATATCCATCTATCTTTCTTGTGCCGACTCCATATCAGTTTTCCTTTCTTCAAAAGTATGGCAGTACCTTAACCATTCCCTGAAGAGGTTTGATCGGACAACTGCCTCTTTCCTTTACAATATCGAACATTGCACCTGATTTTTTGTTCAATTCTAGTCAGCTGAGACATTTGGACATTGTTGGGCTGGACAAGGTCAAAGGTCAGTGCTTGAGCAGGATTCCGGAATCCCTGCCGCAACTGACATTCCTAGACTTGCGGCAGTGCAATTTGGTAGGTCACCTGTTTTCATTTATCCCACTAAAAATTATGGTCTTTTCTTGGTATATTGAGATTGTAGAGGGGACAAGTGCACTTTTGTGTCTGGACTTTTTGGGCATGGTACCTGGAAGCATTAAAGCCGAAGGAGATTACTTAGATATAACTGATCGCTCGCAGGTACTAAATGATGCATGTCCAATTTAAGGTTAATGCATTCAGGGCACTGTCCACAAGTGGTTGCCCTAAATGCAGTGCATACATTGACCCTATTTCCTTTGTATTCATGCTTTCTGGATTCTGCAATTCCGCAGTGTAAATCATCGACGCATTTAATGGTGAAAATTAAAATGTCATTTGTCTCCACGAGGGACTTAAGTCATGTCAGTGCTTTTTTGTTTCCAAAATGACCAAACTGATTAACCGAAATGACCCAACTGATGCCTGGTTATGACTGCCAAAACATGCCTCCATACAAGCCGGTAGTAACTGAATCAAAATTAGACTTGTTAAAAATCATGTTTTTTTCAAAATTAAAAGTCAGATTTTTGTTATTTAAATTAGACTTTTCGTTTGTTTGTTTGGTTTTTTTTATCCGTCTTTGTATGGGTTGTCCAGAAGGCTTAGTCCTCAAGTTCAAGACATGAAACACCATGTGATGAGTAAAGGGCCCACTGCAGATTGTCAAGGCTATTAAAGCTTGTCACATGTTGAACTGCTTATTTCTAATCAAACAACAAAGTTTGCTAAGTACGGTTACCTGTACACTGAAATACACACACATTATGGGCAGGAATAAACTGTTCATGCCTATTTCAATGATACAACAAGTTGAGTAAAGATCAGTGTCTTTGCTTTTCAATTGGGATAAAACTCCTGTACTTGCTAACACCTGACATGCCCTACCTAACATTTCCAGAGACTTTATTGGATAAGCACACATTGTTGGTATATCAATTTTTTTGATATTTGGCAATGTTGGTGTATCTAAATGCATGTAAACAGGTAAATGGAATAGCTGTTCTATACATTCATGTACATGCAGTCGTACAAAATGGAGAGTGGTGTACACGTTTATCAGGTGAATGTCGAATACATATAAAGAGAACCATTACACACAAAATGTCTCAATCCTGGTTGAGTGTAAATGTTTCAAAGGCATCAGTACATCTATATTAATTTCAGCTTTGTCTTTCTTTCAACTTCCCAAAACAGTTTAAGGTTTCTTTGACGTGATTTTTGTTAATTATTTGTTAAAATTTTGTTTTAGCAGTTTAAATCATGATTTAAATTCATGATATTGATTTTCAACCTTGATAAAAATGGTATCAAACCAGAGTCAGTGTTAATGAATGGTGATTATAATGACCACCCCACCTGCACGAGATAAACAGTCAGTGGCATCACACGTGACTGTCACATGTGAATTCTGTACTTATTTCGTCCCTGCAGATAAATGACAACATGCTCATCGACTTAGTGAAGGTCCGGCCACATTTGCTTATTTTCAACTACTATGGAGAACATGTAACCCGCGACATGATCCCATGACTTCATGATGCCTGAAGACGGGACTCTAGATTTCCACCTTCCTCATGTACAGTGTAGGTTAAACTGCTGACGTTCCCAGTTTGTAATTAAAAGTTTCATTCGTAACCACTTGACATGGATGACATGTAAACATGCAGAGATTTCTGTGCCTGTAGCATGGAGGATGTTTAAACATACTGTGGTGAATTCTGCATGCAGTACCAGGTGATGTCTGCACTGCTCTCCACACCCAAGTGATTCACCGTGAATTTAAACACAGGGATTTTCTACTCCTGTTGCATGGAGGATGTTTAGACACACTGTGGTGAATTCTGCGTGCAGTACCAGGGGATGTCTGTACTTCTTCCCACACCTGAGCGATTCACAGTGAATTTAAACACAGGGATTTTCTGCTCCTGTTGCATGGAGGATGTTTAAACACACTGTGGTGAATTCTGCATGCAGTACCAGGTGATGTCTGCACTCCTCTCCACACCCAAGTGATTCACAGTGAATTTGTACCTAGACAAACCTATACAAACAGACTTGAATAAGTCTGTGGATTAAGTAAACTACAGTGTAGATAGGTTTTCCGTAGCACCATGGATATAGCTCTCTCCTTTTTTTTTTTTGAATCTCCTGACGACGGGGAGAGCATGTACTGTCCAAAACGTTGAGTACCTCTGGTTATTTTCAGAACCCCACATACTCAAAAAAGACATACATATATCCATGGTTTTACCGCAAACCTATCTAGTTTACTTGCTACCTCCCCCACGAAAAACTTCAAATCTCAAGTCTGTGGACGTTGAGCATACGTGGTGTCCTCAAATGGTCCAGCAGCCACCGCCGGGCACAGCATAGTCTGGCATTTTCACAGAAGAGACAATGTGATGAGAAGTGTAGTGTAAATGTTGACCAAGTGACCACCAAGGGCCAGTATTTCCAACTTGAAAAAGGCTGTGGTTGTGGTATCAGAAAGTCCCTATGCTGAGCTGAATATGATATCACACCTCAGACAAACTCACTGTGGAATAATAGCTTTGGCAGGCTGTTAAATTATTCTTAGAACCTTTGTGCAATATGTGACCAAAATACACTGTATGACGATCAAAGTCTGAAATATAGTGGAGGATTGCTAGAGCCTCATCTTCAGCCTAAAGATGTCAAAGTGGATTACTTTTTAAAGGGCAGGCCGCAACGGTGGAAGCGTTGTATGTTGGCAATTTTTGTTGTTTTACTGCGCATTCACAAGGGCAGTGTTTGTAAACATTGTGCAACGTTTGCATCATTTTTTAGGAACAGATTGCATTGCCACAGTCAAGCACATCACAAGCCATCACAGGTTTGTCAGAATTCTCTCGCAGGCTGCCAAGTCTCAAGTTGCAAGCTGGTCTGTGGAGTCACGGCAGAGCCATTTCGTTCTTACTATTTATTCTCCCTATTTTGGCCAGTTCCACGACGTGAATTGTGACAGACAATAGACCCGAATGGACCAAGCCACAACTCTTTCAGATTTCACCAGAGCTGTTTGCAATTGTCATTTCAAATTCATCAACCAGAAACTTTTAACAACGATATCTGTTTACAGAAGATGAACTGTCCAGATGGGGACACGGTAATGGGAAGAAATTCAAGAAGGAACGGAACCAAAAGAATTGGCGCAAAGAAACAGTAAACCAAAGAAACAAAAGGGTGATGCGAAAGGGAATGCAGTGGTATGTTTAACAACAAACACGGGCTGAAATCATTCTGTGCCAATTACTGGCTCCTCTCAGTTACATTATCATATCCAAAGCCCTTACATGTTCAAGAATAACAAGTCACCCAAAATACATGTAATGCTCAAGTACACAAACATCGACCTTCCCAGAATGTGTCGTTACTGTGGTTTATGTCAGTTTTTTGTAATAAAAGTGTGAAGAAGTTCTCCAGTTTGTGTATTTTGTTTCTATTTTGGCAGACTTCCAATTCCCAGGCTGTATGCTCTAAATTATGTGTCTTGCAATCAGATGCACCTGTCGACTGTAGAGTTGTAATGACTTGAGTCAATGACTTGACTCGAGTCTGACTCTAGTCACAATTTTTGGTGACCTGACTCAATTTGCAACAGGAAAACGACTCAAGTCACTGCAAGTAAATGACTCGAGACCCTCATCGGAAGACCCCACTCACGTGAAAGCTAATAAGGCTGTAGTCCAATTTGCAGTGATTTACAGTGCCGCTTTCATCTGTTATCATGAGGATTAAGATATGTCTAATTGTGACCAGAGGTCAATTTAAAAATGCCAAAAATGACCTGCTTAGAAACATGTTCTTGGTCGATAGTCCTCTGCTTAAGTGGGAAGGACTCACTAGTTATCCTTCAAAGATACTACATATGGTAAAGATACAAGGGATTCTGGGAGGATTTTCCAAAAGTTAACCACTCTATTTGCAAAGAAGTGACCAGCTAATCTAGTTATAGTATGCCTGTTGAACCATTTCATATAATGTCCTGTTGAGATGGAGAATTTTATACTGGCATTGGATCTGTGATTGCCGTGAAGAAATTTGTATACATCTGCTTCGTCTTGTTTTTATCAGCGGATTGTGTTCAACTGTTGGCAACTCGAATTGACTCGAGGGAAATTCTTGGCTCGACCAGTGAGTCAGTATGTCACATCTCTAATTTTTGTGACTCGAGTGGAGTCATTGTGACCGTCACAATGACTCGGCTTTATTGACAAATGTTAGTGACTGGCTACAAGTCCAGCAGGCTTATATTATTGGGGATTGGCTAAAGAAAACATTTTGGGTTGGCCGTAGTCTGGTTCCCAATCCCATTTTGATCGATGCATTCGGACTTAGAAAATTGCAGGGGAGGAGGCAGGAAACAGTCAAGCGCAGCCGATATTTTCTGTCACTCATGCATACATGCATGCTCATCATAAGCCCGAATCTTGTTTTGTTTGGTTTCATCAAAGCACAAGTCAACAAACTTTTGTCAAACGGTGATGGATACATTGTATGTTACAAGTCCAAAAGGTAAAGTCTTTGTAGCAGAAATATATAGACTTTCGAAAGTAAACTGACAAAATGTAAAGAAAAAAAATGCCTCAAACATTTTTAATCAATCTTCATAATGTTTATGGAAAAACACAAATCATTTTTATTTATAGCTTGGCGTGTACACTTGTAGGTTTTGAGAATTGACATTTGGTGCTTGATTTTATTTGTGAAATTACTCATCAAAAACAAATCTTGAGTTTTGGCAGTCAAAGCAAATGCATCTAAAACTGTTAATTGAAGACCGATACAACATAAAACACTAAACGACACTGTAAATATGTTCAGTTCTTTTGTCCAACTTGTCTTTCATTTTAACATATCTTTTAACAATGGAAACCTTAACAGGAAATTTTAAAATGGCGGCCATCTTGGAAGAAAAAAAACCGCTTCCTCCTTTTGTCGAAGATCCGGACGAGAGACTTTTTTTTTTTACTTCGCCTTATGTCTGCAGACTCGGTATTTGCGTGCGCAGACAAAGTGATCTCCCATCGTACCTATAGAGGGCGTTCTTTGAGAATGCGCTCCAATAAGTGTGATTGAAATGCACGTCGAGGAGCACCTGTAAATTGAAACTCCGTCTGGAATCGCTGTGGGATCTCGAGAGGAGAGCAACTTGTTATTTCACGTAAATAAACACGACCAACAGCTCAACGCTTTCCTGGTATTTGATTCAGTGGTGAGTAGGCCTTTATGTGTGCTTGGCGGGACTGATTTCTCGGATTTTCTTTCCCGAGTTAGATTATCATGGTGACAGGTAGGCCTATCTGTCAAGTTGTTTTGTGCCTATTTTTAGTCCTCGTACCTATATGCACATAATTTACGAGAGGCTTGGTAATTAATTTCCGGAACAAATTGTTGTTCGTATTTCAGGAGTATTACTCTTCGAACTGAATCCTATCAAAATAGAACAAAATTTTGTGCGTCACTGCATGCTTATAAACGGTGTGTGCCCAAGTTTGCTGTTGATGGTTTGAACATGTGTGTTCCGATTGTCAATTCTCAGGTTTCTACATATGTCTGTATGATCATACCGCAGTGGTCGATACAGATAAGTTACAGGACGTACATTTCACACCAGAGTACTTTGCAGTAGTTTACGTATAAGTTGAGTGCTTCTTTAATTGTTTCAAGAATTTGCCAGTATTTCGAAATATTTTGACTCAGTTCATTGTATGAGAGTCCCAAAGCGTGAGATAATGAAAACAATATAACTTTGAGCCCGGATTTCGAAAGGCTTTTTCTAGGGTGGGGAGGGGTAAAACCACCTTCCCCCCCAGGGGGGGGGAAGCATATAAAGGATGTTCGCTTGCAGACGAGTGTTTATGAAGAGATTGCACTTAACATGTTTTTCATGGTTCCTTACCATATGTTAAAGGAACTATTACCGGGTACCGATTGCAAGGGGTCTTTTACACGCATGCAGATTCACAACAAATGGAATGCAGGACGACTTCGTTCTGACCCCAAGATTTTGACCAATCAACGGGCGCCTGCTGTCGTACCTTCGGCTTGACAAGATGGTACATGCAAAGTACATATAGTCGTTTTTTGGCGGGGTTCTGTCAAATTATTTAAGTAAGATTTGAATATTGGATATTGTATTATATAGGTTGAAGTTGATCAGAGGTCACGCTTCAATCAGACGCCGTCGTCTGCCGAGTCAGCTGACAACAGTTGACAAATCAACATCCTCCGTCACCATCCGGACGGAAAATTACTTTATAACAGCTCTGATTGGTTGATACGAGTCGTTGCATAAAATTTGTATATAATTGGGAAATTAGACGTTAGAACGGCTGATACTCAGACTAGCTAAAGTATTAATCAGTTTCTAACTAAGAAAACATTAACAATTTAAAGTGTTTCTAAAGCAAATTTGTAATTTTTACATCCCCTATCGTCTCTTTTTTCTTCTCTTTTCCTCCTCTTAATTTCAAGGCTTTTTTCCCCGTTGGCGTAGGGTGGGGATGGAATTAAAGCTCCCTTGCCACTCCTGGAAGCCCATGCATTCGGGAACACATTCTTGAAGAAAATTTCATTTTAAAATTGAAGGTGACCCGACCTGCATAGAATGTACAGTCAGTTTGTTTGTTTATATGATTATATGATGCAGAACGTCATGGTAATTCTACAGTTTTATCGTTTGTTGCATCTGGAGGGCTTGTTTATGCTCACAAAGTCGATGTGTTTCCTGGAGAAAAGGCATTGTGACCAATTCGTGTGCATGCAAACAGTCGATATTAACCATAATCACATGGTCGATATGCCCCCAATAAATCCATTTTTATCTCTGCCCATCTGCTGCACTTTCAAGAGTGAATTGGCCTGTTCAAGGACACTGTGGAGTACGATCTACCTTGTTGCCCTTAGCATAATAAAAATCTGTTGCTTGGAAAATAAACAAAACAAAACAACAAACAAACAATCACTGCATATACCCCAACAAACATGCAAACACAAGAAGTAAACCAAACACGAGAAATAAACAGACAAAAACAAACACAAACAACAGCAGTGTGGGTGTTGTGGAAGCGAACTGGACATTCACGTGACATATTCCTTGTGTTCTACTTTTCTATTTTCTTTGTCTCCAAAATGAATTGTACAAAAATCCGGTATAAGTGCTTCCTCGTAGCACTGTTATTATTTTTTACGAAGTCTGCAAAACACATTTACACTTTTATCCCAAATTGCAAATCAGAGCTACTGTTGTAGTTTTGTAGCAGTTCGAAGCAAATTGATGTAATGAAGAATTGAAAATCAAGTGGGAAAGATTGAACCGCCTTCTTTCTTGTACTGGTCAAATGTTGCATTGGTTGTATGTGTTTCGGCTACCTGCCCAGCAAAACTGCTTAAATGTGCACGAGATTCATAACACGTCCAAAATCATACAAAGCATGCACGTGCTGCCAAGATGACATGGCATTTACCGCGACCACTCGACCGTAGATCAGTATATGATGAGTGACAAAGTGGAGTCTGCTCAAACTCGTGCATTTTTCCATGGCAAGCGCACGCAACATTCGGATCTTCACATATTTGTGTGTTTGGTACAGCATTCTAACAACTCTTGATGACGATCGCCGGATGCGCAGTTCGACCTCCTTTAAATTTTCAGGAGTACAAATTATGTCAAGTGGGTAGCGACGTGGCGCTGCCGAATGGGTAGCGGTCCTTCACTCCCACCTCTGAAAGTTGCCGATAAAAGCAGTTTGATTATTAATGCGCAGGTATACACGCTATCCAAACACAATCGTCAACAACTTACACTTACCGACGTAAAAATGAGAGTATTTGGCCAAAATATAAAACCCGTGTTGCAGAGGTAAGCAGCCCACTTCAGCGTATGGAAAGAGTTCCCTAAAAGATCTTTACCTCACAGATAAAAGTACAAAAATAAAAATTGAAACATTTATTTAACGTTTTTATGTTCTTTTGAGTCACAAATTTACCATGCGTTACAGTGTTGCACTCAAGTTTACATTGCAGAAACCTGAGTGCTGGCCTAGTTGGCAATTTTTGTAAAGATTAAATCGCATATTATATATTTCATAATGCATAATTGAAGGACGTTATGGTCAGCATGGCGTCGAACAGTGCGCCCACGGCCTGCTCTCCCATTTGGAACAAAGTGGAAATTAAGTAACACGTGGGGACGAGGTTGCATGAATAATGCAAATGCCGAAATTGCGACAGCTGGCGCAAAATCCAGTACGTCTCTTCACCCAGTGGGGGTGCGTAAACACAAAACCACGGCAGTTTTAATCACAAATGTCAATTGGCAGCATGTTCTGTTGTGATATCGATTTGAAAATTCCTGCTAAAGTCACCCTATAAAGGTAATAATGAGAAAATGTGTTCCATACTACCTGCGTTGATATAT